CCCAGTGGTCATACAGAATGTGAAAACCTCATGAATGTCCTCTCCTAGCAGCGACCAGAATTCCTGGTAAAATTCCACAGGAAGACCATCAACTCCTGATGACCGACCACCGTTGAGTTGTTGAACCGCTGAAGACATCTCCTCAAAGGAAATAGCAGACTCCAACACAGCCAATTCAGCCGTGGCAGCCCCACCAGCATCTTCGTCACACATTCAGGGTCACTCAAGTCAGCACTGAAGAGCCTGGCATAAAAGTCAGTGGCAAGCTTCCTCATTTCCACTGAGTCAGATGTCACCTTCCCATTTGGAAGCCTTAAGTGCAACGTTTGGTGTGACGCTCGAAACCTTTTCTCCAGCTTAAACAAGAACCTTGTTGCTCATCCATTTCTTTAATAGTAGAAATCCGAGTCCTAATAAGAGCACCCTTTGCCCTTTTGTGAAGAAACTTGCCCAAAGCCTTCCTCCTGCTTTCCCAGGTATTATTTGTATTATCTGTCCCACTTATAATCTCAGTCTCTAGCCTCTTGAGCCCTCGTTCTAAGTCCTCAAAGTATTCTTTAATAGCGGTCGTTGCATGTGATGTGTACTGGTGACAAAAAAGCTTAATCTGTGTTTTCCCCATCTCCCACCATTGAGCCAAATTGCAAAAGTCAGTTTTCCTTTGTTTCCAGTGGCACCAGAAGTCAGAAAAAGCTCTCTTTGTCATGAATCAGCTGCACGTTAAAGTGCCAGTGCGAACAGATGGAAGATGCATCAATAAAGAAATATCTGCAGTCACTAAATGATGATCAGAAAAACCAACAGGTGAAATCCCTGCTTTAACGAGTCTATTATTATACATCTGGTTGACATATAATCTATCAAGCCTAGCTGCCTTCACACTGCTCTCAGAAACTTTAACATATGTATACTGTCTGGTTGTGGGATGGAGCTTCCTCCACACATCAGTCAAATCCTTCTGAAGAACGATTGTAGACAAAAGTGAGCTCGAAGGTGGGTGAGGCTCTCCTGTGTTTCTGTCAACTGAATCAGAATCTGAATCAGAATCAGAATACTTTATTAATCCCAAAGGAAATTAGGGTTACAGCAGGCAGCAAGCTAATGGCGCATGCGCACTTAAGTGGGTTATGCAATTCCATTCCCCTCCCACCACTATTATTGAACCACTATTTAATTTTGATAACTCATCATTAATTTTACGAAATAATTGCACACGACCCGCAGCTGAGTTATGGGCGTACACATTCATAAAAGCAAATGATATTCCCTTGATGGTTGCTTTTACTACCTATGCCCTTCCCTGCTCGATCTCACAGACAGAAACATGTGACAGTTGAAGGTGCCTAGAAAATAAAATTGCTACACCCGCACTAAGGTTAGTACCATGACTTAAAAAAGCCTGCCCACTCCAACTCATTCCCCATTCTGTCTCATTATCCATAGTGCTATGTGTTTCCTGCAAAAGGAACACATCAATGTTTTTGTTCTTGCTAAGCTCCACCAAGACTGCACGCCTTTCCCTATCCCCATTATTGTTAAGTTTACCTACTCTCAAATTTGCCATATAAGACAGAGAGAAGAGGAGGAGAAAAAGAGAAAAGACAGTGAGACGCTTCCAGAAAGACACCCTTAGTGCTCAGAACATTTTTACTATGCTTTTAAAGGAGCTTTTCCTCGTTTTTCCCTCCTTAACTTAGTCAGGATCTTTTTAAGATGGAATCTTTTCTGTTTGCTCAATTGTTCATAACCAACAACTCTTCTTATTTTCAGAACAGATTTTATAAAAAGATCAACATCTGGAAAAAACTCAGTGACTTCCACAGACTGCATACCAAATGTCTCATCCGAAAAGCGGTTTATATCTTCTAAGGAATACGACTGCTGATGGTCTTCTTGTGAAACAACATCAGAGCATTGTGACCGGGAATCATCTTCCAACAAGTTGTCTTCCTCATTTTCTGTGCTCAAAGAACCTGAAACTACATTCACAATACCCACCTCCCTTGCCGTTACTTTGGTCTGTCTACTGTCCTGATTTTCCTCCACACTTTCCCTGTCCTGTATGTCATCACATTAGTCCCGTGTACTATCCCCTGTTCTTCTAGCCCAGCCTGTGGAGCACTGGCTGCGACCTCCATTCTGTCACCCTGCGCCGCTAGCGGCTCGCTGATGACAGCGCGGCTCGTAGACGGCTCCGCACTGCTACGAGCCGCCGGTTCTCCCGTACCAGCATCTACAGCGCGCTCCTGCTCACTCACCCCACTAGCATGAGCCTCTTGTTCACGGCGCATCTCCTGCTCTTTGTGAGGGCAGGATGAGCGTTTATGGCCAACATCACCACACTCAAAGCACTTCATGCTACCTGTACTGGCGTAAACAGTATATAAGCCGTTTTCAAATCTTATTTTAAACGACACTTCCAGTGTCTGCGAAGGATCGTTCAGGTACACGAAGGCCTGCCTTCATAGTGACTGGCGTCTTTGCAGCCAAGATGAACAACCCTGAACCCGCTAGCAAACTTTCCAAAGCAGGTCAGTTCCTTTTCAAGTAGCTCATTCGGGATGAACGGCGGGACACCAGACACGGTGACCCGCGTAGATGACACAAACAGTGGCGAAACAGCCACAAACAAATCATCCAGAATGATCCCCCTTTCAACCAACGGGTGAACCAAGCGCTCCTCACAGCCTTGTTCATCCGAGAGCCATAAGTTATATTCTCATGGCCCACCTGTTCACCAACAGCTAGCAGAACCTGCTCACGGTGTACTGCTGGGGTGCCACCACCCTGGCCCCATGTCTAATAGACAGGGGGGGCGAACCCTCACTGGGGAGGGACGCCATGACTCAAGGTAAAACTGGCCAATTAACTAAAATTCTTCACTTCACCCAACACAATGAAATAAACTTGCCTTACCTTGCTTTTAACCACCCATAAGCCCAAAGTTTTCCGAAAAAAACAGTCCAAACGTCCCAAACTCACTCAGCAGCTCCACGCACTCACCAAACACCTTCACACACCCATTCACTCACACTCCCAGCATGCAGTGCAGGAAGGAGAGGAGAGGTGCATGTGTTTTGTTAGACTTTGAAAATTGTTCTCCTCTCTCTTGCTTTGGGGATTATGATGATGTTTTATATTTAACATTTTTAACATTACTTTTGAAAACATTGTTACCAGTTGGTTTCTGGACTCCACATTTTGATGTTTGTTTTGAAGCCAGAAGTGACTATATTTAAGTGACATGGTGGAGTACTGAGTAATCAGTTAACAAGCTTGGTTACGAGTTATAACCATAAACTAGACAACACTTCTTCAGCACCACACATTAAGCCTTGTGATTTGTCAAATAATTCCATTAAAATGTATTTGTGAATTGTATTTGTTAGCAGATGGAGGCTGGGGTGGATGGTGGCCACACAGTCCTCCACACAGAGGATCACTAAGAATAGACTGATGATGATCACTTTGTGCATCACCAGTCAACTAATGTGGACACCACATGACCTGCACATGCTCCTGTTTTCCTATAGCTGCTTGCAAACCTCATTATGTACAAGATGTCCTTTTGGGTTATAGCCAGTCATAACTCAAAGTGAGAGGGGTCTGTCTCTCTTAAGATGTGTTTGTTTTACGTGTAGGGGTTAATGTTTCAGCCCACAGAACATTTTAATTTGAGTTAATTATTTTAATGTTGAGTGAGCGCTAAGTGCTGCTGTTTATTTCTAATGTGATGGCTTCACATCAGAGCTATGAAACTTTAAACTGAATGCGTTTAAGCATTAAAGCCTTCTGTCCTATAAAGGAGATGTGAAACTGCATTAGTTTGTTGTACAATCAAAGTGATGCTAATTTTAATGGAATAGGTTTTCCCCCCCTAATTGGTGCTGTGTTAGGGCCACAGTATTATTGGTCACTTTGCACACCAATGGTGACGTCAACACAGTTCCATAGCAATTATACCGGTGCTTAGGGCACGAGTACCTTCTGCAGTACGCTTGTGAACGATGGGTGTGCCACCCAGGCAAACCAGCTACATCAGCGCTGGTATGAGAGGAGAATAAGTCAAACCTGGAAGCAAAAGAGTTTTGTTTCTAGAGAAAATGTAATCTTTTCAAACTGCTCCCTCTGTACAATCTGGTGGCAGCACAACACGTGAGATTACAAAATTCCCAAAACATCATTTACGTGACTTTAAGCTTTATAAAACTCTCTAACCCATTAATCTTGTTTTGCAGTGGATGCGATGCAAAGTGCAGGATTTTAATAGCCAGCATTGTGCTGGAAAAAAACCCATAAAACCTTTTATTTTCTTTCACCCAAATAAGTCAGTGTTTCAACTCTTTACATTTTAACACTGCTGATTGTTTACTACAATACTGAGCAGTTTGAGTCATTCGCAGCAATTCACACTTTTCCATTCACACCTTTTGAACTCTCTTTCTCTCCATTCACAGACAGGTAGGTGTAAAGAGTCGTATAGAGAAGACGCGCTGACTGTGTGTTGTTAAAAAGCAGTATGGTCGGCTCGCTCTCAGCTTATGGCAGACTCCTGACTCACGCTCTATTTCTGATGTTTCCAAAGACTCTTTGAACAGCAGATAATAGATCAGGGCTGGAGAGCTGCAGGGTGAAGACACACACACAGAAACACACACATTCAAACTCTATCCACATGGCAGCGGTGATGAGTGTAGGCGGCAGCAGGGTGAAGATACACCACCGTACTCGACAAGCAACGAGTGGGAAGCAAACACACAGATACACACGCAACGCACACACTTCATCTCTTTTCATGGTGGAAACGGACAGTAAAGCTGTCTTCCATAACTAATAATGAGGACGTATCCATGTCCCGACACGAGAGTGTTTACGGAAACTGAACATGCCAAGGTTGCCATGGGGACGATCTTAACAGGTGTACAGTCATCAGTAGCAGGATAAAAATCTGTTACACGTCAGGCCAGCAAACACACAACACTGAACTGATGTTTACCCACCCCAGGGTCGTCATGGTGACGATGGTGTACCAGAAGGAGGCCGGGATGGAAGTGAAGGTGGAGCCTTTGGTGCCTTTCTCGGCGTAGAACATGACAGTGGCGAAGATGATGATGGCCATGGTGAGGGAGAAGAGCAGGAAGCCGAGCTCGGAGGCGCAGCTCTTGAGCGTGTATCCCAAAATCCTCAAACCCTGTGAGTGACGTGAGAACTTGAAGATTCGGAAGACGCGGAAAACCCGGAGGGTGACGAAGGCGCCGCTCACGTCCTCGTTCTCGGGCATCACCAGGCCAATGTAGTATGGCATTATAGCCACTACGTCAATCACAGACATCACAGAGCGCATGAACTTGCAACGACTGGGCGCGGCGAACAGGCGCATCAAGTACTCGAAGGTGAAGATGAGCACGCAGGCCGTGTCCATGCAGAAGAAGGCCAGCTGATATTTCTCCCCACAGGGAAGGTCCTTAACTCTGCCCTCTGGAGGCCGGCAGGGCACCGTCTCCACCACGTTGGCGATTACTGACACAGCAATGAAGAAGCCGGTGACATAGTAGAAGACAAGCGCCATGGTGGAGGTGTGAGGGTTCTCAAAGGCTCGCCACAAACGCTCCCTGGGGGTGCTGTCAGGAGGAAGTGGGGCGTCCATTGACTCGTTGGCCTCTGTGTCCTCTGCCAGACGCTCCTGGTTCTCTTTTTTCCTGTCTCTGTATTCCTTCACAGGAAAGGGGAATGGAAAAGAAAAACTTTAGTGTCGCTTACATTAAGTGCCTGATGTGGCTGAGCAAAAAACAAAGGGATTCTGTAACAACTGTATGTAGTTTGTGATGAGATCAGGTTTCTTCTCATGTAGAAATATTTTTTCAGAAGACAGATAAAAATACAAACTCTAGGTCCATTTACTATGAAAGGAGAACAGGTGAACACACATTACAGGCACAACAAGCATCCATTTCTGATAGTCTGTGCTCACACAGAGTTCCACAAATCCCCTCGTACACCTACGCTGTAGATAAGGAAAGACCTTGTGACTTTAAACTGCCTACAAGCAGCTGGGCTGCCCTCGTAGCCTATCCTTGAGCCAAAACATCAACAGACAGAAGTTATACAAAATCCTTTCAGATACTTATTCGTCCTTTTCTAATGCTGATACATGAGAGCCTTGCTCAGGTTTCTGGAGTTGACCAATCAGAGTAAACCATGAATTTTGTGATGAGGTGAAGCTCCAATTCAGCAATATTTTACTTATATCGTTTAAAGAACCTCAGAATACTGCCGTTTGGAAGGCAAAGAAGAAGAAATACTTTAAAGTAATTAACTAATATTTTTAACTAATAGGTACCTGTTTCTGTTGTCACTTTCATGGTCATTGCAGTTATTGCTATGATATTAGTGACAAGAAAGTATTATTTTGGTTAGTTATGTGGCATACTTCTAATCAAAGAAGCATCAGAGTAGAGCTCCTTTGGTGAAATAGCCCATCATTGGCTCAATAATTAAATCAGAACAATGCTTTCCAATATTTACGATGTTTTTATCTTAGTTTTAGAGTTTGTAATAACTTTCAAATCAATCAATTTTATTGCTGCAGCACCAAATTACAACAACAGTCGCCTCAAGGTGCTTTATGTTGTAAGGTAGACCCTACAATAACACATACAGAGAAAAACCCAACAATCATATGACCCCCTATGAGCAAGCCCTTTGGTGACAGTGGGAAGGAAAAACTCCCTTTTAACAGGAAGAAACCTCCAGCCGAACCAGACTCAGGGAGGGGCCGGGCCATCTTCCACGGCCGGTTGGGGTGAGAGAAGGAAGACAACTTTCACAACTATGTCTGAAAAATGTAGTTTACTGAATACTTTCTGATGCATAAACTACAAATAAACAATACAATACTTTTCCCCTAATCTGGGGCAAAGACACAACTTTGACATGGTTTACTCGCACTGACTGCAATCCCTCTAAAACAGACTGGTGAAGGTCTGCAATAAATCAAGATCTAATATATAAATATAGATCATTTGCCAACGTATAATCACGGCGAGTCAGCCTGTGCTGATGAGTGCAACTCCTCTGTCCATCAAATAATAAAACAATGGCTGTACATTTAACATAAAAAGCATGTCTATGCTATGTGTGTGTGTCAGTTGCTGCTAGGAGTGTTCATCTATTTGGGATGAGAGGGAGAGATGTTATCAGGAAGAGTGCGTAATTGGCAGGGCTGGATGGGTCAAAGCTTTGAGTGCATTAACAAAACTTTGGCTCTGTCCTGTTGCTGTTTACTCAGTCCTCACTCTGAGCCCCACACAGATCCGCTTTGCAATAATACTGATATGTTACTGAAACAGAGCAGAAGCAAACTGAACTCAACAGAGAGTCAGAGTGAGGAAGGAGGAGAATGCTATTGCTAGACGCATATGAGGATGCACGTTTTCCTTTTTAAAGGGAGCAGAGTAGGTTCCAGTGTGTCAGGCTTTTTGTAACATTTCTACACAGAGATCAGAACAGAGATAAGCCATCACTCCCTGCCTTCTCTCAGCAGTGCGCACACACAGAGCAGCATCAATGTTTCTTGCTTTGCTTCCCTCCAAAGCGCTATTTCATAACATGTCTGTCAAAAGGCAACTCATCGTGGGACTAATTGGATTTATGTTACAAAATGTCGACATTATAATTAGTCAAATTAATATCTACGATGCAGTCTCATAGTTCAAGTACAAATACAATAGACGGTTTAACATGCCAGAATTAAAACCGTTAAAGTAGCCCCGTTACTTTACTGATTACTATAATTAGTTACTTTATTACTCAGTTACTTTTAACAAAAATGATACACAACCTGAATACATAATAAAGCGATAGACCTTTCAGCCCAATTCTATTTTTTTCTGCATAATCCATCATATAAAATTGAATCAAATGAAAAGTCTCTTTTTAAAACTTTTTACTTTTAATCTTTTAACTTTATGCATCAAGAAAAAATTTAATTATTTGCAACAGACTTGGAGAAATGTGTTTAACATTTAAACCTATTTTCTGCATATTCCAGCATATAAAATAAAATAATGTTTTGTGTTTGCACTCACTCATTCAAATAGATGCAAATGAAACACAGCAGAAAATAAAGAAAATCAAAGATTCAGCAGCACTGAGTGCTGTCGCTCTTAAATCTATTGTCACCTGTTTAGCAGGAATGGGGCGGGGGAGATTTGCACCGGTGCCACAGCGGTCATGTCAGTGGGAGGATCCGGGGGTTTCTCTGTGAATTTCACATTCTCATGGCAGCGTGCTCAGCACTCGCTCAGATTTGAAATTAATTTTTTTGCTGTATAAAGACGTTTCGTCCCACAAAGAATGTACAGTGGACACTAATGGTTTTGTCACTTTTTACAGAATCAAACTAGTAATGTGAGTACTTCCAAGCTTAAACGCTGCATGGTCGTAATCTCTCCCGGACTCCATACTGTTGCTGCCACATACGTCGCACGCTCGTACATCATTGTCATGAGACACTCTCACAATCAAAATCCGTTTAGTAACGCAGGATGCTTATGGGAAAGTAGCAGTAATTTAATTACTTTTTTGCAATCGTAATCCCTTACTTTATTGCTTACTTGAAAAAAGTAATCAGATTACAGTAAGCTTTGGTATTGAATATTTAATAAAGTTAGATTCGACGGCACAAAAAGCTGTCAGTTTAAAGAGAGGATGAATATTACGCTACTGTAGATGATTAAGTAAACTGTCTGTTTTGATGAGAGATTTTTTTCCGCTCTCCTGCAGAGCATCACTTTTTTTAAACACCTCTCTGAACCTCCATACAGGGAAGGGGGCATCTTGTTTTGCTCAGTGAAATCAACAGCAAACCTTCAGAGTCTGAGAGTTAATAACTATATGAAAATGACCCATCATGGGCTGCAAGTTCTAATTTATGAATGACAGTCAAGTTATGGTTGATCTTTTCACTCATGAGTGTGGCTGTTCCTCTCTATCAGCTGACCACAGCAGCTGCATCATCAGTGGCCAACAAAGCCAACAAACCAAGCACACATGCTTTTTCAGACATAACAAGGCTTTTGAACTATAGCTTGTGAGACTGCAGCCATGGTGCAAAACTCTGATTCTGTTTTACACAGTGCAGAAAATCCCAAAGCACTGCGTGCGTTTAGGCACATGGAACAATAACAGCATTAACGCACAGATGGCTCAGGATCTGACTGAAATAACATTTTGTGTTTTACACAGAGTACATGACGTTAGCTACAACACATAAATTTCAAGCTTGTAAAAAGGAACAGTTTGTAATAAAGCAACTCTCTGCTCTCCAGCTGAGAAACACACGCCTAAAACTTTCCCTTACACTAGTAGTATGATGATCTGGGAACAACACCAACACGACGATATCAGATCGTGCAAGTACTTTACTCTCTGTTTACATTCGGCCTAGTCTGTGGCTGAGAGAGTCATGCCTGATATGTGGAATCTGCACGCTCCATTGGTGACCAGTCCACCCCAGGCTTCATACAACAATGCATGTAAAGTTATAGCAGGCTGACTCTTCTTATCCCTGTGTTATTGCTGTCTTGACCCACCAAAGTTGGTTTGAAGACAGGAACTGACTGCGACTAATCTCACACCTGGTCCCCGTCTTTAAAGGAGTCACATGAAAAGCAAGTAGGTCGGTCACTGTTGCAATAACTTCGGTCACACAGCTGCCTTTTCTGTAACGTTTGGGAATAATGCTGTGTGGTTTGAGATCAATTGGTGGTTTCTTATAAGGCTAATGGAGTTTAATCATTTATAAATGTGCTACAAGAGAGTGCTCAGTTATCTGCTTTGATATTGAACCACAATAATTCTAAGAAGGGGCATGGTTCAACATCATAAAGGTAAAAATTATTAGAAAATTCAATTCAGTTTTATTTATACAGCGCCAAATCACAACAACAATTGTAAGGTAGATCCTACAATGATACATACAGAGGTAAATCCAACAATCACCCCCTATGAGCACTTTGGCGACAGTGGGAAGGAAAAACTCCCTTTTAACAGGAAGAAACCTCCGGCAGAACCAGGCTCAGGGAGGGGCGGAGCCATCTGCTGTGATTGGTTGGGGTGAGAGAAGGAAGACAGGATAAAAGCCAGATGCTCTCTGGAGAATCTGACGCATCCAGGTTGAGATGGAGCAGAAAGCTGAACTTTGCTTTTCGCCCAGTGCATGCTGGGATGAGATTCATGTTTACCCTCAACTTTCTGAAGATGTTCGTTCAGTTAAAAATAGACACAGACTGATGACAGGAATATATATTTTTATAGAGGAGTTTTCAGATTTTAAGAAACAAAGTACTTTCACCCGGTTTTTACATCATTCTGTATTAAATGATCACTGTTTCTCTCTGTAGCACCTGCTGCTGGCATCCCTGAAAGCTTTTAGCAAGACAAGTAAAATGTAAAGCAGCGAGCAGCTTCTACAGTTTGATCTAGAAGGAGAGTTAATATTCAGTAAATGAGCAAATTTCAGTAAATATCAAACACAAGAATAGAATTTGCCAACTAAAGGACTAAAAAAAATTTTGTGGGAAATTGATGAAGACTCAAAGTGAAAAAAAAGAAATTTAGGTACCAGAATTTGTTAGAGCTGAATCAACATTTGTGGAAATGATCAAATCTGCCAAATAAGAGGAAATGAACAATTACTCATTCATGAGTCAATGAATGGGTCAGCTATAAAAACGGGGATATAAAAATAAAGTCTGTGCAGACAAGGCTAATAAAAGGGAAAACAAGCTCTGAAGGTGATCTGTTGTGCTGAGAGTGGGCAGGGAACAAAGAGACTTGTTTAAGGCTCGTTAAAGAAATCCTCTACAGAAAGCCGTTGTAAGGAGCTTTCCAAAATCAGGAGCAATAAAAAGGCAAATCAGATTGTATTTGGGCTGCTGCCGTTTCCGAGGGCTCATCACCGCTGTTTTAATGAGTCGAAGTTTGATAATGGGGTTTGAGAGCAGCCCTTGTTAGTCAGTCCCCTCAGATCCATCAATGTTTTTACTCTTTAGGCGTTTGGCTGATGATGTTCCCCTCCAGAGAGACTTAATGAGTGCAGAAGCAGAATAACCAGCATTAGAGTCAACCATTAGAAAGAGATAAAAGGTCAAAGGTTCACATAAGCACACTACAAATGATGCAGGCGTTATAAAGTCATCTAAAAGGACTGCAGTTAAAAGAACATAAAGCTGAAACCTGCTGCCCTCATCATTTGGACTGTTAGAGCTGTAATGAAGCCCAGAGGCTCGATGGAGTCATTGGGCAAGAATATGCAACATTTTGGGGGTTTTAATCCAAAATCTCACTTTTGTCTATAAGGATTGTTCATACCGCACTATTCAGAATGTTAAATGGCCATTATTAGACGTTTTTACCCCATTAGATGTGGTTAGTAGACATCCTACTACACCTGATGGTTCAGCAGGCTATTATTACCGCATTTATTTCCTTGATTGTAGACAGAGGCAAAGATTACTGCATACACCATTAGGAGCAATTTGACAAACCTGAAAAGCAATAATGTGACTGATGACAACTGAAAATGTGTCCTCTGTTGTTCATAACGGAACAAAATCCAATTTATCTCTTTAACTTGATGAATACCAATCTGTGTATAAGTGGGTTCTCACTTGTGATGCAGTTTGTAACAATTAGTAACATTTTGAACTACAAGGGGGAGGCTTTGTAGAAGAAAGAGTAGGTGTACCTCCATGCAGCAGTCTCCAATGATCTCCGGCACGATGCCGTAGAAGGCCAGCTCTTCGTCAAAGGCCTGGATGCACTCGTGTCGTGGGTAATGGAGCTTCCCTGTGCGGTAAAAGTTCAGAATGTGCCGGAACATCTCGTGATCTCTGTCAAAGAAATATTCCTCTGTGTCCTCGTTGAAGAAAAACTCTTTCTCAGAGGAGCCCAGCAGAGTGTCAGGATAACGGTCCAGGGTGTTCTTCCATGTCTGAAGAAAAAAGGAAAAGAAATAAGAATAGAGGAGTTTTCTCAGGTTCTCATGTACAGTAAGCATCAATCGTCCATTTTTTTATGTTATACCACTTATTCAGATTCAGGTTGCAGGGGCAGCAGCTTAGACCTCCCTCTTACTGACCACCGACTCTAGCTTAACCAGGGAGACACAAAGACATTCCCAAGCCAGCTGAGAGACATGATTCCTGGGGCTTCTTCCCCAGGAGGACATGTCCAAAATACCTTGCTTAAAAGGCATCCAGGAGGCATCCTAGTGAGATGCCTGAACCACCTCAACATGCTTTTTTTTAATGTGAAGGAGTGGTGTCACTACTTTGAGGCCTTCCTGGACACCTAACGCTCCCAGACAAATTTGTTCCTATCCAGTTTTATTCTTTCAGTCACTTCCCTGAGCTTTGAGGTGGTCAGACATTAGCCCCTTGGGACCTGATCAGGCACAGCCCAAAGAAGCAGCATGCTATGAGAGTCAGGTGGGTTGGTGGAGGCCACAGTTACTGAAGCTCGTTCCTGGGACATGCAATTTCGTCCACGGTGTTGCATTGGAAATAACACCCTCAAATAGCAAAAGTATCAAGGCTGCTATAGGCAGTCCGTCAGTGTAAGCAAACTACTTCTGTTTCAAAAAGATCTAAACTTCAGCAGGAAGCAAACAAACTGCCAGATTAGTTTCCAACAACTACATAAAATCGTGCTGCACTGCTATAGCCCACCGACAAACACGTCTGTGGAGAGAAAAGAGAAAAGCTTGTTTTAAAATGCTGCCAGCAGTGAGATCCTGGATGTCAAGGTTTGAGCGTTTAGAGGAATGTTCTGCTTCATTCCCAAGTTGGTAACATTTATTTGAAAATAAATCAAATATAACAAGTCCTTTGAGAAAGTGAAGAACGTGGTAACGACTTCTAAACTGAAGTAACCTTCCCACTGGTGATTTGGGGCTTAGTGAAGTGACCCGTGTAAAATGTACAAAAGATTCTAAAAATAAAAATCCAAATATCACATTCACATGTGAAAAGCAAAAGTGCTGTTTGAAGGAGGCAGTGAGATGTTAGATGGGAGCAGTGGACTGTCAGTAACTAAAGGTAACGGTGAAGCAGGGCCTTTTTAATGCCGCTGCTGTTTTGTTTAGGATTCCATATTAAATGGCAGCATTACTGTAACTTTCTATTTTTACAGCAACTTCAAGCTGCTGCATTTTGTTTTGAAAAATGAGGACAAAGTCACAAGCTCGACAAGAACTTTCCACTCATTTTGCCACCGCAGCAGAAAGTACGCTGAAAGCTACCTAAATCTATTTTAGTTGTGGAGCCATTTTATTATTATTTCTACCCAAATGCACATCAATGCGCTGATTAGACGTACAGGATTTACAACTTGCTGCCGTGGAAGTAGGAGCGTGGCTGGAACACATCACGGGAGCACGAGTCTCTGGAAATAGTTCTGTAAGTGACTGAGCTCTTAATTTTCCTCCTAGAAAATGTCAAGTGACTGTAACACTTCAACAGATAATGAGTTTTAATAACCTTTAGAGTGCTCTTCTTCATTAAAAAGGACAAATGTACGAATAATTTTAGAGGAAATTAGAAGTTGACCTTTGTAGGACCTGCAAATGGAATTTCAGTCCACTTTGATTTGGGGAGCGTTCACAGCAGGTCCTGATTTCAGTACTGTCGCATTCAATGACTAGAAAACCGACCAACACCATAGGTTGAATTCCATGTTTGAAAGGCTCATATTAAACAACCAAAGCTTCGAATAATGAGGTCTGCATGAAGCCTACAAATAATCCCAAAAGCTGTTCTCTGCTCTAAACGTTCTCTTTTGGAAAGCTGGCTGAAAGCAGGAGGGAAGCGAGCTAAAACGGCATCTTCCAGACAGAGGATGAACTGCACCGAGGCCCAGTTTAAGACAAGTAAGGATTATTTTTAACTGAATCATGCAAATCTACTCCAGAACAGTCCAAGAATAAAAATGTGGAGCTGGGAATATTTCTTTCCTGCTTGCTGTGTTGGAATAACATCCCCTGCCTAACTGTGTGGATCAGTGCTGTTTTACAGTAATCCCACAACAGTAAACATTCAGGAATAACTGAAGAGTAACTGCTCATAGCCAAAGCATCGTTTTCAAAATGTGAACAAATATAGGCTAATATAGCATGCAGCATGATTCAGTTAATACACTGGTTTGTTTTCATGTGAAAGGAAAATAGGTCAACTTTAATGAGAAAAAAAACGACAAATTAAGACCTGCTAACTTAAAACAAACAAAAAGTAATAACTCTAAGAGAGCTGGGAGTCTAATTAAGGTCGTTTTTCTTATCAAAATCCAGGATCACTGAGGACTGTTTTTGTTTTTCACTATTATTATTATTATTATTATTATTATTATTATTATTATTATTATTATTATTATTATCATCATTATCTGATACACTTGCTTTTAATAGACTGTGCTATACAGAAAAAAAAACTAGGAAGGAGGGGGCACTGAAATGTAACAATGTTGAATTATTATATAATGCATATAAAATGATATAATATATAATAACTGAATGGCATTAACAGAATCTTTGGATCTGCTGTAGTTTATGGAGCTGCTCATCCAACAAACGCAGTGTGTAACAAAGGCTTTGTTGACATCAAAAAGACGCAGCAGGAGGCAGAAACTAATTTAAAAGAAGCGCAATTCACCTGAAGAAACTCTGCATTTTCTTGTCATAACAAAGGGAACCTCGCTTAAGACTGAATGTCAGGGAAATAAAGCTGCTTGCTGTAATTGAAACTCACTCACTCATGTTGCACTGCAAAAAATAAATAAATAAATAAATAATTATTGAACTACAGCTGACAACCTGCAGATTTTGCACAGCTGATATTAATATTGGCGTTGTCTACTGCTGGAATTGTGTTTACAGATGCAGAAGAGTGCTTTTAAATCTAAAAACCCAAGAAAAAAAAAGAAAAGTTTGATGGAGAACGTGGACACGAGCATAAACACTGCTTATGCACCACAGGCAGTTGATAAACGAGGCCTCTGATTTGTCACGAAGCAACCCGGCATCCCGAGGATTTACATTCATGTTGGACAAGCCCACAACGCATAACTTACACCCAGCAGTGACACACACGGGTGGAGGTACGTCCTCTGTAGGGTGGATGTTAAGGCTGCTGAAGCTAAGGGTGGTGGATGTTAAGGATTCATTCATGCGGGACACCAGCAGGACAAACAGGTGTGTTCTGGGCTTCTAATTTCAAACACATGCTACATTCATTAGCTCGTCAGAGACCCAGAAAATAACTCTTCTAGTTATTCATCAGTTATGTACGTAGGAGATTATGAGCATGGCATACATAATGCCAACGTGGTGCCCAGCTCCTCGGCTTTTCCTTTCCTCCCAGGGCGACTCTCACATATGAGATTCTTAATGTCAACATTTAATTTAATCTCAACAGTTTAATTTTCTGAAACAGAAAATTATTTACTAAAGAAATATCTGATGATGTTTATACACAATGCTTTGTTAGAGGTTAAGTTTTTATGCATTTCATTTGTCAATTAATCCAAATCGTTTTTATTCAACAACATCAACGTTTTAATTGTTCCATCCTGTTAAATGTAATAATTTTTTATTTTCTGATTTTTAATTTATTTCAGTTTTTGTTGTTTGCTTGCCGTTTTTTTTTATTTTTAGGGTTTCATATTGTTTATTGAAGAAAGGTTAAAAAGTCTGTCTTGGTACTCCAACTTCCACTCGTAATTTAAAGGCATGCACATTAAGTAAAGTGGGAATTTAACTTGGTCCTAGGTGAGAATGTGAGTGGATGGAAGCTCATAACACACAGTAAGTGTCCTTTACACTAAAAACCAATAAAAACAACCTAATATTATATTTCACTTACAGTTTTTATATAAACCTTACAGTCATAGTTTTACTTTTAATCTATTAAGTATGTCTGGGGAGTGTAATGGAAGGCATTGGCCTTGATGACACGCTTACTACATCTTTTCATTCTTGGTTAGGACGATTGAAAAGATCTCCTGGATGATTGAGGATGCATCAAGAAATTGAAAAGATGTTGCTTTGATTTCATGTTTTTAAAATAAATTCTCTCTTTCTTTTTTATTGTTTTGAGTTCAACCTTTGATGTTCAATGAAAATAGTGTAAATTTGCTCTTTACATAACTCGAACTTTTCTGCAAAGTCAGTCACAAAGCTTTCAACTGTGAATTCACACATTCCTGTAACTTGCAGCCACTTTTTTGAAAGCATTTTTAGAGCACGCTCAGTGGACGCCAGCACCCACCTGGAACCTGACCCCGCTGACGTTGAGGTACAGGATCTCATCCGATCTGGACGAGTTGTCCACTGGAGGTTTGGGCATCGTCTTTTTGGCCAGCGGCAGCCAACCAACTGCCGCCGCCCGTGCAAATGGCAGCCATGTCGCCACGCCGGCTGCCATGTTGTATCAGAGCGCCCACCTGTAGAGTGTGAGAGTTCTTGTCCTCGTCGAAGGAGGGAAGAGCGGATGGAGCTAATGAAATGTTTATTGGCTCGGTTAAAGCCTTGCTCACTTCTTCAGCTGCCCTGATTTCCTTTGGCGGTCTGGGCAGTGAGATGCGAGGTGGTTGGACATGTTGGGGGGGAAGGAAAGGGGAAGGGAGGGGCCAGATTGCAGTTGGGTGTCAAGCCATGAAAAAAAGCTGTAAAGGGGCAGGAAAGCAGACTGATGAACAAGCGTGAGGCCCGTGCTTTTATTTTGTTGCAGTTTGGATGGTCTTCTCGTGACGCCGTCCTTTCTGTTCCTCTCCGTCTGGCCTGCGAGACACTTCTCAGGGTAAACGCTGCTTTTTTTAAATATTTCTCTGTTTCTCTACAAGTTCCTCTCAGTCCTGTTGCTCTAAACAGGATGCACTTCTTGAAAATATGAACTCTCTTGATAGGAAAACATAATTTCTTGAAATCTCAGCAGTCTTAGCACAATAGATTATGTGTAAAATAATAATAAAGTGGTTCTTTGATATTGCCGTCACAGGTTTATTGCTGCGGGGATTTACAAGAAAAGGCAGAAAGATATGAATCCAGGTAGGGAAGCGTTAAAACATTTGTGTCTGGCCTCCTCCCTTTCTCTCGCTCTCTCTCTCTGTCTGACTCTAGCTCTCTCACCCACCCTCTTTCCCTGTGAAGACTGATTTGTTGCAGCACCGCAGCCTTTCAAATTCTTATTAAATTGTGATGATGGTCCCTGAAGTTGCAAGATAGACAGAATCGCCTGTGTTGCCTCCCTCCCTCTAAGTGTTTCTCAGCTGTGGAGATTATGGTTGTGCAGCCTCACTCTTCCTCTTGTTCTCTTTCTGCTCTTGCTTGCTGTTTTCCCCTTTATCTGTCTCTGTGTTTTAGTCTCTCCCTCTTATTGAAGTTGCCGGGGCATTAGTGGTGGAGAAAGAGAGACACCAGCTTTGTTTCTGAGTGTAGAAGAGACGTCAGGCGCTCCTTTCTCCATGTCCATGTATGGTTGTCCTGTCAGAAAACACACAAACAGAAAAAGAAGCAGAGAGTGAGAGACAAACCAGGAGGAGAAGGAGAAGGAGGGAAGAGACTGAATTTAGAGAGAAAAGAGGAGGTATGGGTGGGAAAAAGCTGAAGAGAGGTAGGAACTGCAAGGGTCCTTACAGGGAAGAAAGACTTTGTTTTTTTTGGCGTATTGTACTACAGCCAAGAGTCTTTGTTCCTACTTCTGGAGCTGATTTGTGTGGACTTGGGTAACCAAGTGTCCGGGAATGCAACAGACGTACCGGAACGCACAACCTGACCCAGACCACATCAAAGCGTCCAAATCTGATTTAATCAACCTGTTTAATGACCACTGTCAGTTGTTATTAGTCCCATTTGTATGAAGTAGGTCCCTCATCTACCTAACAGACAGCTCAGTAGGCTGATGTTAATCACTGTAATCAGCGGTAAACACAGAGCAACCAAACTATACATAAATTTCCAGTGGTTGTGTGGAGAAGTCTGTGAAACAGTCCCAGCAGGGTAGCATGTTCTACATGTCGATATCCCTGAACTGAGATCCTCCCGACACTAAATGAGCAGTTTTGTTCATGATCTATCACTGGTTTAGGAATCAAAACCTTCCGGAGTCAAAAAGGTGCCCACATGGGTAGGTAAACAAGACAAACAGACACTAAGACAGCGACTGAGGAGAAGGGCTGGACCGTTTATACACATTAGCTAATCAGGGAATGGGAAACAGCTGGTGGAAATGAAGCACAGGTGAGAGTAACCACACAGGTGAAGACAATCAATGTCAATGAGGCAGGAGAAATAAAAGCAAACACCCAACAATAAGCTCAAAGCAACAGGAACACAAAGGGTAACTGTAACTGATATTTTTCAACCTGGTTCTGGCCTCATTACATCCACTCAACATTGGTCCATCCATCCATCCATCCATTCATCCGTCCATCCATCCATCCATCCATCCATCCATCCATTCATCCATCCATCCGTGTCCAAGTTGTAGTGGCAGCAATTTAAGCAGAGATGCTTTGACCTCGCTCTCCCCAGACACCACACAGAGACATCTACAGAGCGGTTCTGCAAAGGTGACCTCCTCTTGTGAAATACTTCACATAGGAAGCATGTATGAGGCATCCTGCTGACATGCCCAAATCACCTCAACTCCTTCTTTAGCTCTCTAAACCCCCTCCCAAATGAGCGGGTGAGCCAGTGATGTGATTGGCCAATCGATATGTGAAAGTGTCCTCTGAACCCCGGGACTCGGAAGTTCTATTTCTCATGAGCACTGTGCTCGGCAGGTCTACCATCATTAACTTGTGAATGGAAGAATGAAAACCACCTCAGAAAGTACCTATTAGAGCCGTTTTAAAATGTGTTACAAAAACAAGCTAAACTATGACAGAAAAAACGGAAAAGCAGAAAAGGTTTTTTTTTAAAGAATTTCCGAACTACGTTAAACACATTTTAAATAATAACACATATAATGCTGGTTTAGACAAACACTCGTTTTATCATTAAATCTAAACGAATCATTTTGATTGAATAGTGGACAGTATGTACATCTCATGTCTGTTTATTGATCCTCTTCGTCCTTCTCAAACTTCCCCTGAGGGCTGTACAGCTGAAGCTCCATTCATGTGTTTAAGATGAAGATATAAGGCTTCAGGTTATTAAAGATGTTTTTTATGATGAGACGAGCAGCGTATCCTCAGTCTGCCGAGCAAAAACATCGCTGGCCATCTTCCTCCTTCTCTCTCTTTATTTCTCCCACTGCGTTCCTCACTCAATAAAGACACAATAAAGTTTCCTGTGAAACTCCTCACCATCAGATGAAAAGTTATTGTCATGCATTTATTGCATTAAGTCCACAGTGGGAGCAATAAAACCGCTGCTTCCTCAGGTTTGAGTTGAATCACACTGAATCTGCCGTCTTCAGGAAATTTAACCTCTTAAACCCCAAAAAACCTTTGTGATGATCAACAAACATTAACTACTTCTGCTCATAAGTTTGAAATGACATCCCAATAGTGAATATGTTTTTTAGTTTTTATCTGTCTGTGCTCTTCATATGGAATTTTTGCCTGCATGCAAAAAAGTCTCCTCAAATATGACTTAGAAATCAGACTAAACTAAAACTAAAAATCAAAGTTACATTATTGTATGCAGTTTTCTTTGTACTACCTTTACCTCTAATTAGTAGAATACTTCCATACTGTAGTATTGTTGCTGTTAGTATTTTAGTAAAACATATTGAGCGCACACACAGTCACCTGCCTGTGGCTGTTATCTGTCCTGCCGCGGTAAAGTCTCCAGTGTGTGTCTGTGATGAATTATGAATACGCTTTCAGCCTGACTAGTTTAGTTTAGCTGCACTGCCTCAGTTACCAATAAGCACATACAATCCACCACAGAGATAGACACACACACACACACAGCTTCCCTGCGCTCAGTGGTGAACGTGCTCCAAGTGGAGCTTTCCATCATCTCAGCAGGAAAGCTTTAACTGAACAGCAACATTCAGTCATTCTGGCATGACGCTTATTTCTTTTCTCTATATTTTCACTGGTAATTTTTATCAAGGCTTAAATGTTACAAGTGCGTTTCGCCAAAACGTTGATGAACAAGTAGGTGATGTATACCATATACATTTGCATTAGGGCATTATTGATCTTGAGTCCATGAGTGAATACAGCTTTGATTAGAATGAGGAAAATACTGCTGTGGGTTCAAATGTCTCTTTTTATCAAGTGCTTTTAAATGAGATGCCAAATGTCCTTCACAAGCATCAACATGTGATGAACTGGAAGTAAAACCTTCCTCCATGTTGCCATCGCCCACTGCATTATGTACTAAAGCCGAAGAGCGCTTTGATGAAATGGCAGCGTCTGACTTCCTGGGAATGATAACAGGTTGGTGTTGTTTTATGTGCAAACTGAATGTCTTCCCTGTGATTCATTTTGTAATTTGAATTAAATGGCCAAGAAAATAGAGGTTAGGTTCTGAAATGGGTATTTCAGGTTAGTTCAGCAGTTTCACTTCCAGAAGAATGTCCTTGAAGTACCACACAAGGTGAGTAATGTCTGTAGTAAACAGCTTAAAAAGCTGAAAGGCTTTCTGTTTCTGGCACGTGTTGGACAGTCTTTTTCCACCTGCAGTTCTTTCCTCAGTCTGCAGGCCTGTAGTAAACCCATCTGCCCATCCTCTCTGTGGGAATCCCTGCTGACATCATGGTTTCTGAGTGAACATTAGATATTTACAGCACCCGCATAATGCCTTTTATCTGCAGCCACTGCTCTGGGATTGGCGTTTAGCTCCCATCAAGCAGCTGGTGCTGCACCTTCGACCCTTCTGGTAATGTGTTGGCTGCTGGTTTTATGGTTTTATGGTCATTACCACCCAAGAGCTGATTCCCAAAAGTTTGAAAGAGTTTCTACAATTCAAAGAACATAAACAACTGAAGTTTCAGAATAAAAGTCAACATGTTATAGTCCTGTATTTATCTATACAGTGAACCGTGTTCACATGTAATCCATTTCCCCATCAGTCACTGTGTTGTCTGTACAGCTTAAAAGCTTTGAGCAAACCTGAAAGGAGTTCTCCTTTAATGGGATCTGCCTGATTGCTCTTCTACATTCATCTGTTTGTGATTATGAAATGAATCAGCTGAAGTAAACAGATACATTATTCAATAGTGGGACCAGAGGTGTGTTTAGATCAGGTAAAGAGCTTCCATCATTCAGTGGGCTTCCTTTTAAATGTTCAATAACACTTTATAATAAAACCTGCATTCAAATGTCCAATCCCATCCATCCATCCATCATCCATCATCCATCCCCTTCCTCCCACACAGGTCTGATATGGCAGGCCCAGACATCCATCTGCATGACCACATCATCCCAAAGTGATCAAGCAGCGCACCCTCCACTCCATGGTTGTGTTTAGAAACTGTACATAAAACTTGTGACAGAAGTGGTGCCAAAGGGCAGCCCTGCTGGAGTCCAGCACCCGCAGAGTATGAGGCTGACTTGCAATGTAGTTCAGGCTCTCACTACAATCGCACAGATGCAAAGTACTCTGTGCAAACAAGCACGACAATTCAAAAGCTTCCCCAGAGGACGACCAGAGAAACGCGGTAATATCAGGTCTCCTAGTGTGGAAACACTTATACACCAGTTGGGTAACGAGCTGCTCCAGTGTAATATTTAACTAAAAAATTATCACAATGTTGGAAAATTGTTTGGAAAGAAACTTCTTCATAGACAGATGCATCAGGAAACATGAAACACCACAAGCAGGAGACTTTCATTCAGATCAATATGCAATTTTCTTCTGAACTCCAGCAACTTCTCTCCACGTTCCTGATGCTTCTGATAATACGGTGACTCTGGGTACAATCATCAGGATTTTCATCCCCTTCAGGCAACCTTGTAAAGTAAGCAAAGCAGTTTCTTAACAGAAAAAAGTATATCTATTTTTCCAAGTTTCTTTTTTCCAAGGGATATTTTTCCCTTTAGGAAGATCACCTTGTGCTTCACCCTCATACAAACTGCCACAACTAAATAAAGTGTAAACCTTTCAGTAAAACATAAATCTTCTGCATCTGCTCTTCTTCACATAAATTGGTCAATAACAGGAAAACAACAGGTCTCCAATCACTAATCAGCAGAAAACATGCTTCTGATTACTAATCAATAAAGAGAAACCAGGCTGTCTGCTCACAGATCAATAAAATGTCCTCGGGAAGTGCGGTGGGGACTTTTCAGTCTTTCTGATTTTACAATTTTCCTTCTTGTTTTATTGATTGGAGGTTTGTTCTTTGTTCAGCTCGTGGTTACATCCTGTTTCTACAGCTGAGTTATTTTATTTTTTATCATTTTAATCTCTTCTTTGATCCATTTTTATGTTACTTTTCTCAAATTAGGATTATTGCTCCTAAAATAAAACTTAGTGTTTCTGCTTAAGGTTACATTTGCGTTGTACAAATGAAGCCTACTTTT